GTGGGTTTGCTTTCGCAAAGGGTAGGGGGGGCCCTGCCGAGCTGCCTGCCCCCCGCAGCGAGCACAGCCCGGCCCTCCACCGCCTTGCGAAAGCGATGGGGCCCCCCCAGACCCCCCCAAAGCAGGGGTGACAGCGGCGACAGGGCTAGCTCCTGCGTGGGGTGCTCTGCCACGATTTTGGGGATCCCACTGAGGTGGGGGGGAACCCACCAGAGGAAGGGTCCTGGGCCCCCGGTTGACGAGGGAAATCAGAGCAAGAGCTGCGGCCGATCATTGATTCTGGGGGAAAACAGCTCCTTTTTGGGACTCGCTGCAGGACTTGGGGTTTCACCTCTCCCCAGCACAGCCCTGCTCATGCTCGCACCCCAAAAGCCCCTCTCCTGAGCCCCCTAAATCTCGACACCTCCCAAAAAGGGCTTTGTGCCGACGCTGGGGAACCCAGGACGCGCGGTGGTGGCCGCGTACCCTCCTTGGTCCCCCGTCAATAACGCAGGGGGATGCCGGGGCCTGGCATGGGGGCTGGGGGGGGCAGCTCCTCTAAAGGACCCCCGCCCCCCACTCCCCCTCTAACCTGGGGGTGGGGGGCAGCACTCACCGTGCCGCAGACCTTCACGTCGTGCAGCCGCCCCCACTCCTCCTCGTAGCTGTCCACCATCATGGCGCTGTCATCCTCCTCCGTCCCCAGCTCGGCGTGGAGGTGCAGCCGCACCTCCTCTCCCAGCGAGTGCATCCCCACCGCCGGGAAGAGCCCCTCGGGGGACAGCGGCATGATGGTGGAACCCACCTGCGTGTTTGGGAGGGGGGACATGGGGTGGGGGTGGGGTTGGGCCTCGGGGGGGGGTGAGGGTGAAGAAGAGGGTGGGGGGCATCTCACCCTCTTCCCGTTTTTGGTGAAGAAGATCTGGGCTGTCTGCACCTCGAAGGAGACCAGCTCGATGCCGCAGCCGATGCGATCCCCGGAGCTGCACTTGGTGCCGAATTGCCGGCCCTTGGCTCTGCCGCTGTACAGCCTGGGGGGGCCGGGGGGGGGGAGCTGAGCACGGGGGTGACAGCAAAAAGGGGGTGGCCGGACCCCTTCCCTTGTCCCCAGGCCACTCCAGAGACTACAAGCATCCCCCAAACCCGCTCCCCAATGGCAGACCAGGTCCCGACAGCCCCCCCCCAGGTCCCAGTGACCCCCCCACTCACTTCCCGTCATCGGCATGGTACGCTACGGAGTCGGGCAGCCAGCCGGGCTGGTGGTCCAGGCTGTAGTACTGTGGCACGAGGCCGACGGCGATGGTGCCCCGCACCCCGCTGTCCACGATGGACACCTGGGGGGTGACGCCGAGAAAGCCCGTCAGCACAGCTGGCGCTGGGGGAGGGGGGCACTCAACCGTTCCCCCCCTCCAAAAATCTGGTGGAGGAGCTCCCCCTCCCTGGGGGTGAGGTTTCACCTCAAAGTAGTTGTTGTCCCTGGTGAGGGGCCGCGGTGCCACGTAGCAGCCGACCTCGCCGGAGTTCCCGTGATAACTGGGGGGGGAGAACAAACCACAAGAGACTGTCACCCACGCTGACGGGCACCCACGACCCCCCCGCATGGGTGCGGCCCCCTCCCCGTCCCGTACCTGAGCGTGTCGCCGTCCACCAGGATGTGCTTGGCGCGCTCCTGGTAGCGGACGGCCCGAACCTCCCGGATCTCCCGGATCCGCCGGCGCCAGTTCAGGAACCTGTAGTGCAGGTTCAGGTCATCCATGGCGAGGGGAAACCTGCGGGGGGGGGGGGCGGCAGTCAGGGCCCCCAGGGACCCCCCC